TCCCCTAGTTTGTCTACTTGGAATCCCTGAGTTCTTATAGTTATAGGGCCACAATTCATTTAAAATTTTAGCCAGATTAATTGCCACTGCATGTTAGACTGCTGAAGAGGAAAAAGTTATGTCTGGCACAAAAAAAAAAAAAAAGTTGATGAATAGTTGAAGACATAAACTCTCCAGTATCCCTGGGAAACCTTTCCTTCCAGCATCTCTCCCTTACAGGTGGGCCTCTGAGGGTGGGCTCTAGGAGGTACAGGGCAGCTAGCAGTGTCTATGTATGGGGTCAAAATATAACATTTTGAGATCGATTTTTAGAGACCTCAAATTAAACCAATTTACAATCACTCCTGGTATTTAATAATCCCTTTATTTGAGAAGAGCAGAGAAGAAATAGAAGGGAATCACCTAATTTTGCTAAGAAGAAAATTTGCTTTTACTAAAATTCTGTGACTGGGAAGCAGAATCTTAGAAGCAGCTCAGAGTAAAATTTTTAAGAAGGATCTGAAACTAGGAATTGTGCAGAAAATTTAATGGAACTGGGGTGAGTTTAGCCTAAAGGAGAGAGCATTGCAGAGTAACCTAATGCTTTAAAAATGTATCCATTATGTAAAGAACTGAAGATGAAATTAATCCAGACAGTATCATGACAGACCTCAGTTATCCATATAGTATATTTGTCATTATGTAATTACAACTTTATATTACTGGACTCTTGGGGCAATATAGTGTTGAAGAAAGTAACTGACTTTGGGGTCAGGAACTGAATGCTAGGCATTTTCTAATAGTTGTGTGACTCTTGAGTAAGTCACTTAATGCTCTAAGACTCAGTTTCTTCAGCTCTAAAGTGGGAGAGAGGCAGGAATTGTTCTCCTTGCTTCATGGTGCTGTTTAGAAGGTTAAATGAGATAATGGCTATTAAAGCTCTTCATTATCTTAAAGTTCCAGCCACAGGCACAGCAGGCCCCAGTGTTATATAATTCAGTGTTCTTATAAAATTCAGACAGAATTGAAACTGTGGGCACCCCTTCCCCGGAGGTCTTTAAACACAGAGCATCTCCTGGTCCAGATGTCCCAGCCACAGACTGTCTGAAGGCAGAGGAATGAACCAGAACACCTTGAAATGTCATTCCACTCCAGGATTCTCAGCATTTCTGAGTCCCTCAGGTCAGTATGTTGAAATACAAGGGCTGATGTGATAGAAGTTGTTTTCTTCTTTTCTAATTTTTGGGTAGTTTTCCATCTAAATGGAATTGAACAAGACACATATAGAAGAACACTGGGATCTAACCAAACACTTGCTCTTGGTTTGATTTTTCCCCAAAAAAGTGAGTCGTCCCGTTTTTTTTTGCTGTAAGCTGACTGGTTTGGCCTGACTTCATGTTGCTTCTCTGTTGAAAGACACTGGAGATATTTATGTCTGGGGTAGAATTGATTTCCTAGAGGACAATGTTTATTGATTTCTGATCACACGAGGCACTGGACAGATTCTCTCCTTTGTAGATTGTAGAGCTGCCCACGAAGGTGCTCTTTGACTTATCCAGAAAGGGAGCTAGTGCTGTCTTGGGTGTGAATGGTCACCTTCCTCACAGAAAGGTGAGAAACCAGGGACATGACAGGGAGGGACCTGCAGCTGGAGATCTGCTGGAGGACACTGGCCCGATATTAGCACCATCTCTCCTGTAGCACAGTCTCTGTGTGGGGCCTTTCAGTGGCTTAGGGGAGCTACTCTGAGGGCGCGCACAGAGTAACGGGCTCCACAAGTGAAGTGTGTGTGTGGGGGGAGCATGGCAGGGAATTACAGAATTCTAGTTTAGTGGGAAACAGTACCTTGTACCTCAGCCTCCCACTGAGTGAAGGATCTTGGAGCTGCCTCGGAGGTGGCCATGGCTGCTCAGCCTCTGATTAACAGGCTACCTCCTGAGAAAGCCTATCCTGGCCCTGGTCGGACCAGGCAAGCCTTGGGAAAAGGAGCTAATTTTGTGGTGAAATCTTTTTCTTTTAAATTGCACCCCCTGGTTTTCTGTGATTTCAGAGGATTCTAGGCCAAATCTGTTTTCTTTCAGTTAGCAGACCTTTGATTATCTGAGGAAAGTCCTCACGACTTATCTTATTTTTCTTCTCTGAATTAAATCTGCCTATTTCTTTCAGCCACCCTTGAAGAACACATGTTTCAGATACAGCATACCCTTCCCTTGTACACACTGAAGTTCTTTAGAAGTTTCCCTTTTCCCATCCTGGAGGGTACAGAGCACCCACCTTTTGTCTGGTTCCTACAATGAGAACTCTTATATAAAGAGTTGAGACTTGAGTGGTGGGACTTACGACTTGTTCACTCACTGAGAACAAGTGAGTGAACCTTCTTTATGGACCTGGGTGCTTGGACTATGCCTGCTCAGTGGCCCAAAGGGGCTTCCTGAGCAATAACGGCTGACAAACCTGAGCCCTGAGTTCACATGGAGATAACCCTTCAGAAATTTCAATATTTCCAGCCCTGATGGCAATCTACTAATCAAAAAAGTTTGCCCATGTCTCCCTCCTCCTGAGGCCCCAGGAGGGAACACCAGAACACCCGGCTGGTGGCTTGAAAGGTGCACTGACTTGCTCTGTGCCCTCTGCCAGGTTCTTCCAGACAGGAGCAATTGCAGGCTCCCCTGCTCCCAGAGCTTTCCCTCCCACTCTGAACTAATATGGCTTCAGACTGCAGCTAAGAATCAGCAGACACTGAACACAGAACCTGGCCCCAGAGGCTTATAAATGAGAGAAGGAGACACCAAAGGCTGAACTCACTTCCTAGCATTTCCTTCCATCCTTTCCTGCGGCCTCTGCTGCACCAAAACCACACCCTTCCTGTGAGAGCCCCATCCCAGAACCATTGAGGGCTCTTGCTCTTATTAGTAGTTATTGAGCAGAGTGCGGGATGTGGCAGTGAATGTGTGCATCTGGCAGCTGACAGTCTGAGATGGCACAGCGCAAGTCAGAGTCACCAAGGTCTAGAATGGGGGAGGTGGAAAATTAGCAATAGTTTACAGGAGAGAAACAAGTTTAGAGAAGTGAGCGAAGGGCCCAAAATTCCACAGTGGAACACTTGCAGGGTTACAGCTGGAATCTGGGTCTGTTGAGTTTCAATCCCAAGCTCTCTTTAATATCATATACGTAAAAGCCTATGTGGTACCTGTATTTACACTTACATATGTACATGTATGCATAGATGCATAAAATTTTCATTTGTAGGAGGCTTCATTTCACCCTTATGTTCTAATTTGATTCACACAATAAACCGTCTGACAGGTAAGGGAGCTGAGGTTTGGTCACACATACAAATGGTAGCAACTGGATTCATATCCAGGCCTTCTGATTCCAGCTCCCTCTTCTTCCAATTTCGATACATTGTTATTTGACCTCAGTGGCTATTACCAAACCCTTCTTCAGGACCCCTGTGGAACTGCCAGGCATTTGGTCAGTTCCTTCCACGTGGTACACATGGTCTTCCTGACACTGGGCAGGGTCAGCGCCTAATCTCTTTGGTTCCAGAGGACCCTGAACTGTCACACTCACTGCTGAAGAGTCAGTCCCTCCACCAGTCATTACTTTTAGGTCTTTACTGAATGGCAGTGGGAACTTAACCAAATTCAGGGTCCTCAGAAAATCAGATCAAGGATGAGAATTTTAGAGCTGCAAGGGATCTTATCAAATATATAGCAACCCTTGAATTTTGCAGAAAAGGGGAAATTGAGGTTTAGGGATTAGGATGAAAGGATCTGCCCAGGTCATATGATTCTTTAGTCAACCAGGACCAAGTGCCTTGCCTAGGATGAAGACCAGGAATCAGCCCCCCAGTCGAGCTGCTGGGAAGTTGAGAGAGGGGATAAAACACTCCAGAGAGTTCCTCTGATATAGGTAGGATGGAGAGGAAAGGAAAGTAGGAGCAGTGTGCATACAGCCAGAAAACACAGCCAGAATGTGAACCCAGGCTGGAAATACAGATCGAGGGTGGGCTAAAAAACCTCAGTAAGTGACTTCCCAGATTGTGCTTTGCTCCCATTGCACATACAGTTGGAAGCCAAATGCAAGCCACCAAGGTTGCAGTGAGACAGCGAACAATTAAAGCACAAATAGTTGCGGGCAGCTGTGGGAGTGCAAGCCACCTGCTCCAAGTTTACAGCTTTGTTAAACTTGGTAAACATTAAAAATGGAGTGGGAATGCTCCCATTACAACATCCCATTCCCTTCCTGGGAGGCCTCACTTGGGGAGCTGGAGTGGCTTTACCCTTGACCAGGCCCTTCTCACTGTGGCCTAGAGCTGCTTTCTGATGATAGACGTCAGCATTGTCAATAGTCGCTAGGAGAAACTGAGGGAGGGAGGGAGGATCGCAGAACCATGTATTTATGGAGTTTGAAGGGACCACAGAGCCCCTAGAATATAATTTCTCTCCTGTTGTTCAGATGAGAAGACTGAGATCCAGAGGGTGATGTGCCCAAAGTTACAAAGTTAGGGGCAGAACTGATGTTCGATATCTGAACTTTTCTGATCCTTTGTTCAGTGCTTCTTTCTCCAAGCCCCACGAGGTTTATAAGTGATGACAAACAGGGAGTTCTAGCACTACAGAATGCGGTAGCTGGCAGGGGCGTGGTTCTAACCACCGGTGTCTTGGGCTGCCCATGACTAGGGGGTGCTGTTGGCAGTTAGTGGGCAGGGACCGAGGATGCTACATAGCGTGAAATGTGCTCATCCTGCGTCTTGCCCAGATACCAAGAGTGACCTCGCTGAGAAAGATTTTGTCCATCACTTTACATTACAGTTGAGAGGTCCACACCTAGAGACAGGGAGATTCTTGAGTAGGGTTCTAAATACTATTCTTAAACAGTATCCCCTGACTCCATGCTGCTGAGCCCAAGTTAATTAGCAGTACCCTGGGTACCTTCAGCAAAGGGGCAACTCTAGATCCCTTCCCACCCAGCTCTTGCTGCCCTTGCACCTAAACTATTTCCAGGTCAGCACTTACTTGGACTTCAGGCCCTCCTGTCCATAGGGCTGCAGCAGATACTGGTGCACAAGCTTGTCCCTGAGAGTCCCAGCCAGTTTGATTTTCTTTCTTGATCTGTGCAAGTTGATGATAAAAAGTGTAATGGACCCTCGAACATAGTTGTGGCTGAGATTCAGAAAGAGAAAGAAGGAAAAGATAGAAACAAAGTAGTCAGTTAGATGCTTCTAAATAATGTACAACCGCATGAAACAGGACTACCCCAGGACAGGGCACTTATTTATGGTTCTTGGCCACCCTAGACCTTCAAAGACAGGAAGGGCTTGTTATTGTGGTTTCCTGCAAAGAAGATGCTCACTTCTCACTGCACTGCTTTTGTTTTTGTTTAAATGTATTGCAATGGTTTGAGAAAACAAAATATCTTTTTCTGAGTACGGAAGTAAAACATGCTAATTGCCAAAAAATAAAAATAAAAAATATAGAAAAACATAAAAAAGAAAAAGAACATTCCCATAATCCAAGTATTTTGAGATATAATAACATTTTGGTAAACATCCTTCCAGTGTTTTTCAGTTTATTTAATTCAACAAATATTTACTGAGTATGCGACACACACATATATTGTTCTCAGGTTTTACATAATGGGGATCACACTGTTCACAGTTTTTCACCTAGTGAACATCTTAAACATGTCCCATGTTATTACATGATATATTCAATTCTACTTATAGGAGGATGCTGAATTCTTCAGCATTAGAAACGTAGCATAATTTATTTAACTAACGCCCTACTTTTGGGAACGTAGGTTGTTTTCAACTGTTTGCCATCATAAATTACATAATGAAGCACTTCATTGCACCTAAACCTTTTCACATCATGATTATTTCTGATAGACGAAGTCTTCGGAGTTGGAAACATTAAGGACAAGAGGAATGCACATTGTATGATTCCTCACCAAATCTGCTTCATTCCCAGTGGTGCCCCTCCCTGTGGAATATTTTCTGTCCTGGCTCTGTTGAACCTGAGAGTGATCAGAAGATTGGCTTTGGCCAACGAAATGTGGGTGGACATGTTAAGACCTCCGGGCAGAAGATTTGAGAGCCAACCCCTGTTTTGCCATGTCCCTTTTCTCTCTGCCAGAAGACTGGCAATGTTTTTGCCAGAGGGGCCCTATTGACCTGCATCCTGGCACGAAGATGATGTGGAGCAGAGCTGCAGCTGAGTGACAGGCAAGCGGTGTGAGTGAGAAATGCATTTGCTTATTGAAAGCCATGGATATCTGGAGGTCCTTTGTTGTCATAGCACAACCTCACCTATCCTGACTGATACGCACATTTTGATAATATTGATGTTAACTCTCTAGAAAGTTTGTACCGATTTGCTCTGATTGGCTATGCATAAGAACACCCATTTCCTCATACCATTAAGAACACTGGGTATTAAACTTTCTCAACCCGAGAGGTAATAATGGGATTTCAATGTTGCATTAATTTGTATTTTTAAAAAATTCATAATGAGGTGCAGCATTTTTTTCATTTTGTCTGTTTGGCATTTCATTTCTTTTGTAAACTGACCATGTCCTTTGCCCATTTTCTATTGGTTTACAAGAAACTATTATTTATTAAAGATAGTGATCCTTTGCCTACATGTATCTTACAAAATTTCCCCCAAGTTTTCTTTGACTAATTGTTTGTTTACATTGTATTTGATGTATAAAAGTTAAAACTTTTATGTAGTCAAATTTATTGATCTTTTTGGTTTCTGCTCTAGCTGTTTTACCTACCCCTGGGTTATAAAAGTATTTACCACTTTGGAATCCTTCTAAACCAGTACAGGATGTTCAGAAGCCTGGGACAACTATATGCCTACATGGCTTTTCAGCATGTATCAACAAAACTATAATGATTTCCTTCTCTCTAGTAGGAAAAAAGATTTTGTTTCTAAGGGGTCCCTTAAGGCCCCATCTGGATGGGTTAATGAGAGGAAACAGAAAAAATGACCTGGTCCTGCCTTCAAAGGAGGAGTTCAGAGGAACTTTGCCCAGAGGAAAATGTCATTCCTTGCAGAAACAGCACCCCTCAGCCTCTGGGTCACTCATCTCTGCTTCTAAAGGTGATAATTAAGAGTTGAGTGGCCAAGGGCAGGTCAATATGATAACTTGGATTGCTTATTGGTCTTTAGTAATATAGTTTCCAGGGCTCATCCCTAGATTTCTTGATTCAATCCATTTGTGACTGGGGCCTGAGAAGCTGCACTTTAAAAAAATCTTTCTGGGATATTTGGGCAGATGAGTTGAGTATGGGAACCATTTGCCCAGAGCAATCCTTTAAGGTTATGAGAAGAATTACCAAAGTATATCCCACTGGCTGTGTCATGATTTTTCTTGCATGTGTAGGTGGGGCACATTATTATGTTCAAAGCTTTTTGTATGCCTAAATTGATATTCTGATAAATTAAATGAAAATGACTCTTCTGTCTGGTCCCCCCTCCCCTGGTCCTTCTTCTCAACCCCCTGAAACATGTGAACTAGCTTTTGGAGCCAAATGAGTTAGGTCAGGAGGGAATGCCAATTTATTTGAGCAAACTTGTGTCACCGGAGCTTTGAAGAAAGATGTTTCTTCTAGCCTATGTCAGCATTTACCATCATTAAAGAACACCAACTATATTCCACTGATGGGCTTTAAGCTTAACTTAGCTGTGTGCAGAATTGATGAAGACACTGGTTAACTCTCGCTACTCTGGTTCAGAGTGTGAACGGAAGGAGGCATGCATGGGTACCAATTCTGCCCACTACGTAATCCTCTTTGTTAACAATCATCAAACAATCTTCTCAAAGGCCAGCAGGGGAGGAGGAGAGAGCCCCACACTTGTATTTATGAGTTTCTCCTCTGCAGAGCCAGGGCATAATGAGGCCTCAGAGACTGGAGAGCAGAGGGCGGGAGGTGGGGAAGGGGTGGGTGAGAGGGAGACCTGAAATCACAGCATCGCTCTGGGGCTCCAGGGAAAGCAGTCTTTTCAAGCTGCTTGGCAATGGCCTGATTTCCATTTACATAGTCCCTCTGAGGGAGACAAACCAGTACTGAAAACCAGCCCAGAGACCAATGCGCAGGGGCTCTCACAGAACTCCCGGGGCCTCCTCAGGTAGGAACCGGCTTGACGATTGCCTCAGCCAGGCATTCCCTGCTTGGCGATGGGCGAGGGCATTAAGCAGAGGTTTTCTCGCTATGAAGACACATTTTTGGCTGGGGAGTACAGCACCAACCTGAAAGTACTGTGTTGAAAATCCAGATTCCTGAAGAATGTATATTCTCTGCCCACAGAAAACTAATCTTGGAACAGTGTCTGTTCCCTAAGAAAATGGGGTCTGACTGAAGGTGTGGCCTGCAGGCAATGAGTCCAGGTGGTTTTTGGTTCTCTTAATGAATGTCCCTTTTTGTCTGGTGGAACATCTGTCTTGCTCATGTCTCACTCATGGTGACATTTACCACCAGCAGAGAATCCACGAATCTGGAGTTCATCTTTCTAGCTGTTCTTTCGCTGCCTGAGACCTTCTCTGTGTTGCCATGGGAGAGGGAGGAAGTGAGTCAGGGAAGGGAGGCTGGAAGTGGAATATCTTGGACATAAGAGGTGGGGAATGTCATCTGGGAGGTGCATCTTGATTTCCAGATTAAAAAATAGTCACTGTTCTAGAAATGTCTCCAGTGAAGCTGGGAGACTAGAAAAGGGAAGGGAAGGGAAGGCAGAGGATGCTTTGGAATCACAGTTATTCTCAGGGAAAGTCAATGTGCTTGAAAATTAGGTTGGTCCATTGTCTCCAAATCTAATTCAAAGTTTTTGGGTTCGGTAAAAGTTAAGCCATGTTCTGCCAAACATTTTCCCTCCTAATTTCAAAGCCCCTGTGTATTTTAAGGGAAATTTAATCCACATGTTTCTGATTCATTTACACTTAACTCATCAAAATATTGTTTTGTAAGAGCCATTTGATGTCCAAGAAGCCTCAGGAACCTTTTTTATGAGTCTTTAAAAAACTTCTTCTGAAAAACAGGAAGTCATGTTTTGCCAATAATAAATGAACTTGAACCCCAAAAGGCTCAATTTTGCTTCAATATCCACCAGGTTCCAATTGGTTCTGAACTTGGCTAAAAACCCCAGTTCCTCCCCAGAAACATACATTGTCTCAGCAGAATGGTTTAGAAAGTGGTTTTTCCCAGTCAAAAAGTATTTGTTCTGTGAACAAAAAGGCCTAAGGCGAGACCTGCTATGCTGCCAGTGCCCTGACTTGTTATCTCTAGAACAGAGAGCAGAAAACACCTGCTGGTGTTGGTATGAGCATCTAACTTTTGCTCCTAAATCTATCATAAGAGACAATGCTCTCCTACATCAGAAATGACCCACAATGCAAGAGACTGCCATGAGAGACAGTGAGGTATCCAAGCAGAGGAAGCATAACTGCCAGGGAGAGTGTAGAAGGAACGTCTGTGTTGTGTAGGACACTGGGTCAAAAGATCGTAAAACAGTTTGCAATATTCAAGGTGCTATTTGCACATACGAGTGATGCCACGGAACTGTGCACTCGATAGAAGGACAAATTACCGGCAAGAAGCTTGGCACATAGCAAGTGTTCAGTACACACTGGAGTGCAGGAGTTGCGTCAGTAGACACTTTCTTTGGGTTGTTCTACTGGTAAGTTTATACTTTCTCACCCAATCCCTGATTTGACCAAGGATATATATTTTCAGAGCACTGGTCAAGACTGAATAGTGTGAAGCCAACATGCCCACTCTGTGACATTTTTGTGACCTTGGCTTTCTTGGCCACAAATAAGTGAATCAGTAACATTTCTTCGTGACTGCTGTGGATGAGGGGGTACAGACAGGGCATGTGGCTTCCCAGAGAGATGGGGCAGAGACGCCTCTGCTTGTGCCCACCTATCTGGGGCACGTGACACCCCCTGACATGGAGACCTTGCAATCTCAGCCAGTGCAGCATATCCCGAGGGCTTTCTTTTATAAGAGGAACAAAAAGGCCTTCACCCCAATTACTACCAGTAGGGTCATGTGTGGAATGCACTAGTACAGTCTTTTCTTTCTTTTTTTTAATGGGGGGAAGGAGGAGAGGGACTGACTGAAGCAGAGAGGTTCTGGAGTGACTCCCCACAGAAGCAGAGCTGGGGAAGCAGAGGGAATTCTGACTCTAGATGATGTACCTTGTTGGAGGCCTCATGCTAGTGAGTGTAGAATTCTTCACCGCTCCACCACACCTTCTTCTTCTGGCTGATGGGGCGATATCAAAGCAGAAGGCAGCTAAGACTCTCAGTCAGAAGTAATGTCTTAATGCCCTACTTCTGCGTTCATTCATTCATCAAATATTTACTGAGAACTCCTTTATGCCAGTCACTATATTAGACATCAAGACTACAAAAACAAATGAGACTCTGGCCCTGAGTTCAGGGTATACTCGGAACATTAGTGACACCTTCTGTGAGAATGTAAAAGAACGTCGGGTGAACACTGGGATGAGATGACGTGAGGAGCCCTCTGTGAAGACACTTAAGTCCTGTTAAGCCCATGCTATTGACATTTTCCTCCCCAAGTCCTCAGACCAATAGTATAAAGGCCACAAACTGATGTGCTTCCCCAAAGAGACAAAAGGTGCCAAGAATAATTTTTTTTCTCTTGAAGCTGGGAGTCCACCTTTTGGGTGGTTACTTCAGGGCCAGGGTGGAGACAAGGAATACAATGTTTCCTTGTGTGGTGATCAGATAACTGCAGGCCAAGGCCGTAAAGAAGTCACTCTGTCAGGTATTGGATTGAGCTTCCTGTTGAGCAAAAGGGACGTTGAAAACCTCTGGCCTCTGCCCAAACCAGCCTCCGATCATCCACAATAGTTACTTGTATCTCAAGACAAGACAACTGGCCCCTGGCCCCCTATGCTCAGAGTGATTCTTTGAAAAATCTTATCATGATAAATTAATTGACTTGGCTCCTCTCTCATCAAGGAAGGGGAAGGAGTGTCTGTTGTAACCTGAGCGTTGGGGCTCTTTGTGCTATCCACTGCCTGAGATCAGCCCCTGATGGGCCTGCTGGAATGAAGGTCTGGCTTCAGACACTCACCGCCCACCCCCCAACCCCATTTTTCTGCACTAAGAGAAGAATTCTCTTTTCCAGGGCTGCCTACTCTGCTCCTTAAACCGGAAGTGATGTAAGAAAGCCATTTATGGTCTGAGGGGCTTTGCTTTAGGCTGAGTTTTAAGTTTTTACCCATATGATCCTCATGTTTTAAAACATTTTATCTGCCAAACTTTGCCTACTGATAATTATTTTCCTGTTTGTTTGAAAGACAACTCTAATGACAGCTAGTGCTTCAGATCAAAAAGAGGATGACTGCACATTACCATGCTGAGCTGTCCAGCCCCTAAAACAGATTTAACCTCTTAACCCTTAAAATAGCTGAAAAGGGTTTTGAAATACTGAAAAAGCTCGAAAGCTGACATTACTACCTTTGGGCACACTTTTTATCTTGGGGACCCGTGGTTTGGGACGCACTGGTCTGGGCTAAGTTTTCAGCAGATAGCTCTCCAGCATGTGTCTTAGAAAAGTTGACTTACTGTGTCAAGCTCTGCTGGTGGATCACAGAAACAGAGTTTATGTCTCTTGCCTTGGTTTAGCCAGAGGCATACAAAAGGCCTCTTGGGCATTACATCAACTGGCACAGAGGAAAAGCTCAGTAAAAATTTGTTGGCTAAAGAAGTAAATGAACAGATGGCATGCACTCTTATTAACATTTTATGAATAAACCCTCTAAGTGTGAGAAAGGGATTTACTTGGAGAAAAGCTATTTGTCAGCAATCATTTGAAATCCATGAAGAGCAGGTAGAGTGAGTACTTCCAGAGGCAGTTTTCAGTAAGTCTTGAAGGGGTCCCAAATGGCATGGAATTCTGAGGGGCCCGAAGCCCGAAGGCCCTCAGGTGGCTTTCTGTGCCATCACTCTGAAGACTTACTTGTGGTGGTTTGTGCAGTGCGCGTAAATCCTTAGTTTGTCCCGGATCACTCGGCCTGGCCGTGGCTTCCGCTGGAGCCCGGCCACGTGCACGGCCAAGACTTTGGGGCCGATCAAGCGCTTGTAGAGGAGAGAGAGCCAGTAGTCCTGAGGAGAGCAGAGAGGAGAGTCAGGGAAGGCACATGTTCAGGTGTCCTGAGTACGCACGACACACACAGGCCAGAAAGGACTTCTCAGCAGGAGTAAATCCGCCCAATGCGACTCACCCTGTAAGCACGGTCACCCCGATGAAGCGCTCGCCCCGGGCTGCTAGTGAAGCCAGCATCGCCTAAAATGGCCTTTACATCCTAGCGGGCGACTGGAGCTGGGGGACTCAGAGCCAGCCGCATACAAGCAAATGAGTCAAAGTTTCATTTCAAATAATTAGTTGGGGCCTTAAAATTTTCAGCTTTATTTTCCTATGAGTATACTTTTATACTGGTTTATGGCTGTTTAATTGTAGAATGAAAGATCTCCAATCTTTAGAATTGCCACCAATATGCAAATATAAAATGTCGTTTTCCAAATATTGTCAATGAAGATGGCTAGTGGGGGACGAGGGAGAGGAAGCTGCTCCAGGTAGGAGATCAGAGTACGATCCCAGGGCCAGAAACAAAAACAAGAATGTTTGCAAACTATGGTGCTAATTCTGGTGCTCAATAATTCTAAAATAAAAAGAATAATTGTAAACTAAAAAGAACGAGATGTTTTCACCTTTAACTATTCCAGGGTCCATTTGGAACTGATTAATAAATATTCAATCTGTAACCCACACATGTATTTGAATTTACAAAAGCCTATTACCAACACCTTAGTTTGTATTGTATTTGTATTACCATATTTTGTTTTCGTATTTGATATAAATATAAAATTTGCATTTGCATCGTGTAAGTGCTTATCACCTGTTATGGGGTAATGACTTCGGCATTTGTAACTCACCATGTAACACGGGGCTTTCTAATTTGTCTAGGGGCTCTCCCACTCCCCCACCCCACCCCACTGCAATTCTGGAATTCAGTGAAATGCTATTCAAAGTCTTTAAGACATCAACCATGTCCTCTCAGCCTTCATCTTTCCAGGCAGAAGCCTCTTAATAATCTTATTATCTTTTCTTGTGTAGCCATCAATAACACCAGCTGCTTAAAAATGTCTGGTGAGTTGCATAAATCAGAACAAAGTCTCAAAGCCCCCTTGCAACCAGAATAGATCCAAATCTGCCCTGAGTAGTGGGCTCTAAACCCTGCCGGACCATTTAATTAACTTTAAGTGGCCTTAGGATGACTATTACATACAGCCTCCTATTATTTAAAATAGCAAGTATTTAATTATGGTCAGTCATACAGATACAAAATCTCATTGGTTCAATTTGCTCTCATTTGATTACAATGTCTATGTTTTTTATTATTGCTCTGTGATGTGTTTTTCACAGCTACTCATATTTCCAACGAGATGTGTACCTTTTTCTTACTGATTTCTAATGTATCTTTTAATATGAGTGGTGAGACTCCTTTCGAAAGTATGTGGAGGAAAAGTTCTGTCCAAGCTTGTAGTTTGCCTTTTATTACTTTTTATGATTTTTTTTGACATGAAGAATTTAAAAAATTTTTACAGGAAAATATGCCAATCTTTTTCTCTCAGTTTCTTCCTTTTCTTTTATTCTTAGAAAGTCCTTCCTCACACAAGGACCAGATAAAGCTTAAGTTATATTTTTCTAGTTATTATTATCATTTTAAAATTTCACCTTTTGGTTCACTGAAGAATATTTTGGTGTATGATACTAGCCTCATTATTTTCTGAATAATTTACTGGTTGTTGTAGCATCATACAGTAAATAATCTATCCCTAAGTCCAATTTTATCACATACTAAGTTTTATATACATGTAAATACGCTCGATGTTTGAACTTTCACCAGGAATGTGTCGATGTGGGCTTCTGCATTAATTTGCTGGTATTTGGGAGTGCTTTTGATAAGAAAGACTAAGGACTTTCTCCAACCTGTGAGAATGTTCTTTAAACACAGCCTTCATCTTATTTCTTTCTGTTTGCTCCAGTCTCTGTTTCAGGAGTCTGTTAGGCCTCCACCCTCAATTCTGCACAAGTGTCATCTCTTTTCTGTTTTCTCTCTGCAAGGAGAGGTCTCAAGTTTGTCCTGCACATTGCATGCCTATGTTCTCCACGATCTTTTCTGTCATTTATTACAGTTCTACTTCCCTTGTAATCTTGTCTTGTCTCATCTAGCTTACCTGATTGGTACTCATTTAATATTTTTTTCCATTCTGTGTGTACTATGTCTATTTTCCATATACAGGAGAACATACGTAACTTACATGAAAGTACTGACATATGAGAACCATCATCCACCTTAAAAGCTACAGTAACACCCACACTGTTGCATCTAGTTTTCTTCCCTTTCCCATTTTTGTGCTTTCCATTCCCTTGGCTATTATTTTAATTTTATCCTAAGCAACATATTGTTTAATTTGTTAGCTTTTAGAAAGTGGTATCATGCTATATGTAATTTTCTATGGCTTACTTTTTTCACATTATGCTTCTAGGATTCATCCAGGGCATTACCCCCGTCCACAGGTCATTCGTTTTCAATGTTGCATGCTTCAGTGTGTGAACATACTAGTGTATTTATCCATTCTTCTGCTGACGGGTTTTTGGGTTGTATCCAGATTTTTGCTGTTATGAACAATGTGGCTTTCAACATTCTTGTTCCTGTTTCCCAAAGTACAGGTGAAGCAATCTGGAGGAGCATTACTCCAACTGTGATTGGAGACCAGCAGCAGCCTCCTCACTGCGTGCTTCGTAGAAACATAGATTTACAGACTTTATCCCAGACCTATTGGATCAGAATCTTCAGAGGTGGGGCCTCCAGACTGCATGGCTCTCCAGGTAATCCTGCTGCTCATTAAAGTCAGAGAAGCCCCGTAGCCCCGTTCTACAGCAATACCTAAGAGTAGACTCGCTGTGCCCTGCACAGGTATACAAGCATTCAGCTCTACAGGATAGTGCCAAATTGCTTTCCAAAGTGATTCCAGTGACTCCAGCTGATGCTTCCTTCAAGCAGAGTCTGAGTTCCCCCTGATCCACATCCTTGCCAACTCCTGTTATTTTCAGGCTTCTTAATTTTTGCCAATCTAGTCTAGCTCTTTTTATATGCTACAAAGTCCTTCCTTATGTCTAGTTCATAAAGATATTTTATATTTTCTTTTAGAACTTTTACTGTTTTTTCATAGTTATGTCTTTAATCAGTCTAGAATTGATCTGGTGTATGGTGTGATATAAGTATCTAATTTCACATTTTCCCATATGAGTAGTCAATTATACCAGCATCGTTTATTAAATGGGCTCTCCTTTCTTTAGTGATCTGCAGTGCCTTCTGCATCACACACCAAGCTTCCATATATCTGTGGTATCTTTCTGGGCTCTCTATTCTGCCCTATTTTTCTGTCCTGCACCAATACTGCACTGCTTTGATTACCATTGTTTTGTATGTGTTTCGAAAGCTGGCAGAGCAAGTCCTCCTGTCCTGTTCTTCAGTAACAACTTTGCTAACCTGGGCCTTTACTCAGTCATAGACATTTCAGAATCAGATTATCAAGCATCTAAACAAAATCTACCGAGACTTTGGAATTTCATTGAATTTACATATCAAATGAAGAGAACTGATATTTTGATGACATTGAGTCTTCTTATTAACAAATATTAAAGGAGCTGAAAAATGAACTCCTTCCACTCAGGGATCTATCTTCCCTCCCTCCCTCCCTCCCTCCCTC